TTATAAGAAAGTGTAAAAATATTGATTTTTAAAGATTCAAAAATATATCTTTGTTATATCGATTATATCGATTATATAGTAAAAATGTTACATTACAATAGCTTGTTTATTCAAGACTAAAATAGCAACTTGTAGGAAACAAGCGAAGAAAGGCGAGGAATCGACGTGCGAGTCGCGTTTTTCTGTTTGCAATAGGGTTCGTGAACGAGCCAAGATCACCCTCGCAATCCTGTGGAGTCCGTAGGCTTCTCAGAAATAATAGCCGCGTCCGTGGTCGCCCCTTAAATCCTTATGTCGCTCAAACCCCTTCTCGATTCCCGGAGGGTCGTGAACGTGCGATGAAATCAACAAGAACAACAACTGCCATTGTATGGCAGCGAAGGCACTTGCTGCCCCGAATGACATTTCGTGAAAGGGTTGCTAGGCTTTTCTCCGCGTCCGCTCTCTCTTTCTCCTCCTTGTCGATCGACTTTTTCGGATCTTTTTCCAGCCCGACACATGCCGAGAGGGCTCCTAACTACCCTGGACGGACGTCGTCTGATTGCCCGGCTGTTATTGCCTGTCAATTGTTCGCGTTCGACGTTATTAAATTAATATTAGGAGCAAACTTAGGTTCGCGTCAACGGTCCAAGGGTCAGTTGTTGTCCGGTTTTCCTTTATTTGCCAAGAATTTCCCATAGGGATTTGTGCACTATGAAAACCCTTCCGAATCAAATACCATTCGTGATACTCGGCCATGAATCGTCTTACGGAAAACACGATGACTGACGGCAAACAGCCATTTACAATTTATATTATATGTGTTCTTCAAATATTATGTATATCAACCAGTCAATATACACATTAGTCAAGCGAATAAAGAGATTTAATCTAGTCATAGCGAATAAGAAGATTTAATCTACAATGTACTATTTTATCATAATTTTACCTAATTTAACGTAATAATTATACAGTTTTTTATATTATTGTATAATCTCATAAATTAATGTATAACACATACATTTTTACAAATTTTTAATATCTTAAAATTAATAATAATTTAATAATTTCAATTTAATAATTTAATAACTTTAATAATAATAATACATATATAACATATCAACGAGCGTTAAGTGAATATTGAAAATACCTTGCAATTAGAATATTGATAATAAAATTAAAGCGGATTTCCTTGTGCAAACGTTGTCACGATTATCTTGTCGCGTTGGTCTTAGAATGTATGCCTCAAGGCTGAAACAAGCGACAAGGGGAGACACGAGCATCCGTTGTCAAACGCATTTAGCTGCTACAAACGCGAACTTGAGAACTTGCCCTCCGGCTGTGTCGTCGAATCTTGTAGAGTTTAATTACCGAGATAATAACGAGACATAGTCAGCCGCCGATTGAACGAATCTTAAATTACATCGAGTGTGATTTTTTTATCTTAATTATCAAGTGTTCGATCATTTATATCACAAATCGTAGTATTTCTATTTAATTTGTTGTATATAATTATAAAATTTATATATTATATATATAATTTATTAATATATTGTGTCTTTTTCGATAATTAATGTGCAATAAAATGTTTTAAATTGATTACAAATACACAATATATATATTTAAATTTATATCAATTTATGTAAATATCTAAAGCAAAATTCTTTTACCGGCTCTGGTTTATACGAAAATCATAGAGCTATCAAGTTAACTTCGAGTTTCGTGTTTTCTGCTGGCGTGGTCCTTAATTAAAGATGCGTGCAGCTTTAGAAATATTTACCGGCCGGTTAACTACCTATTCGTGGCCGGCATAATTGGCGGCAGTTCAAATCTCCTTGGTGATACGTAATTGGATCTAATTGCGAAGAAAATTTTCCCCGGGGTGGCGTTCCTTACTGATTTCCGTGGGACTCAACACGAAAACAATCCTCAACGTTTCGTCGGAGGCATTTGGCAAGGCCGATCGTTATGACGATCGTACAAAGGTAGAAGAAAAGTGGCGCTGTGGTATCTCGAAAAAAAGAGTTACTAATGTCGGTCACGAACGCGGCACGAAATCTCCTCCAGCTGCTGTCTGTCTTTTAGGGACGTATCCACTCGTCCGTGAAATCTTCGGTCTTGAAATTAATAGCGGCCACATTTCTCGGATAAAAGCTCGGAGAATCGTCATATCTAAATCCGACATTTGGAACGATACCTGGAACTTTAGCCTAATACTCTATTTATCTTAACATTCTGTTTCGGGGGCGCAAAAGAATTATCTAGATAACGATTGTAGTACAATAAATGCAATTATACATCTTACTGAATATAAATAATAAGAATAGTTTAAAGATTAATAGTTATATTATAAAAGTGGACATCGAAATAAAAACAAATTAGAAAATAAAAATGGTTCGTATCATAATTCACTTAGGAAACAAAACAGAAGGAGAAAGAGCGGGAGATATTAGGACAATATTCTTCTCAGTATTCTCATCGTTATTTCTAGTTTTGGCAGTTGAAAGCCAACACGCTTAATTAGAAACGAAGCGAAATGAGCGAGGGAGCGATGGTGGGGGAATTTGTCGAAAGTTAGAGTGCAGAGACATCCGACAGAAGGAATTTACGGGAATTGCGCCCACGCAATTGTAATAAAATATATCGGCAATTAGCTCCCTAAATATTCTCACACCGAACGTCGTGATCTATGGACTTGTGCACGATTCTACCTAAAATTACTTTAAATCGCCCTTTTTCAAGAGGGTTGCTGCTGTGGTTACAAATTATCAAAGGATCGGTCACTATTCATTGAAATATATTTTCTTCGCATCAAGAATATATTAAATATCCAAATCGTTTCCTATTTTCAAACAATTAAAGAACTCGACATTTGGAAACATTTATTTCTGTTATAATGTTCTACAAATACTTAGTTACTTTTATATATTATATTATATTATATTTTATATATTATATATTATCTTGGTAAATATTTATTTATATTATTTTTATATACATTGCATAAAATATATTACAATCATTTAATTACGATTAACGTATTACAACATTTTAACAATGACTAACATCGCTTGTAATTAAAATTTCAGTCGAATATCACGAGATATCAACCTCTCGAGATATCTCGGAACGAGCTTCGAGAGTTGTGCGGAGGTACAACTTTCCGCACAACTCTGCTTGCGAGTTCAGCTGGATTTCTGTCTACGCTACATAGTCGAGCTTCGTTAACTAACGCGTTTCGAGCGCTAACTCATTTTTCTAATTAGGCGACCGCTACTGTCGCGGAGCTACAGAGAGGAAAGAAACTTTCTCTGATAAACTTAGACGCCGGACCGAGCGAGAGCGAACTTGGACTGGGGGTGTGGGGCGCTCGTGTGCGTGTCGTGGATGAAGGGAATGAAGGATAGATCGGGGATGGGTACGGGTAGTCGAGGGATAGACCCTTTGGTAGATCAAAGCGCCCCCAAAGATCAATACGCTCCTGAGATGCAGGGGCTGCCGTTGCGAACAAGAAGAGAAGATAGATAGAAAGAGAGAGATAGAGAGAGAGAGAGAGAAGGAAGAGATAGAGAAACGATACGCGTGAGAGAGACGAGAAAGAGTACGGGAGAGTGCGATAGGTTGATTGAGGGCACAGGGCATTAGTGGTGCCCCGATCTCCTTGTCCCGCTTCGTCGCGTGTTCTCCTCCCGTTCTATCTCTTTATAAACATGTCACGTACTTCTTTTCGACGGAACGGAAGCAAAGGGGCATAAATAGGCGCAATTAAGGGAGCCGGCTAAGAGCTGTGACTTTCCACGGAATTCCATAGTCCGGATAGAGCGAAGAGGGACGCGCGAGTGTCGACTGCCAAGAGATTCTCTCGACGGTCGAACTTGTCTGCTGCGGAGAATCCCAGAAATCTCCCACAGAAATTCTCCGGCCGATTGTGATACGCGAAAGTGTACCTCTTTGCTGCGCTATACTTATGCGGATGTGTACTTTTCACGACACGCAGGTCATTACGTAATTCAGAACATGAAACGTTTTAAATCCCGGAGGCCCCTTATATGCGGCTAATGGCTAAATTATAGCGGGTCACTCGAAGGTACGCGAACGGGACACGATCGCGATCTACATAATTCGTTGATGAAATGGAAATCATAATTTCAGGTAAAGTCCGCTTGTACAAATTAAGTAAATCGCATAGCGGCGCTATAACAGCCCCACCGTCTTCGTGACCGCACTGCCGTGGGTCATGCAAGATAGCGGCCAGATATTTGGTTAAATATTAATGACGTCGTTAAAACAACGCATTTGCGGTTCGTTAAACCGGAGGGACGCGTATAACGGCCGCCCGTTAAGGGCCCCGTAATACGAGCTATTCGGTTAAAGCACCTACACGATATTAAGGGGGCCGAATGGCTACTGGGATCCACCGTTTCTTGTACAGGACACATCGCGCACATGCAACGACGTAATAGAAAAATTAATTAAATGTGCGAAACCTAATCCACGCCGACTATCTCTTGCATTAATTTAAATTTGTCGGCGGATTAATTAATCTCTCACTATTAGAAATTTCAATCTTTAATATTCGCTTTTTTTCTAAATAAAAGAAGCAATATAGAATTTTAATGAAAAATACATGAACTTTAAAAAAGTATTTTAAAAATGTATTATTAAAAGTAATCGTACATACGAGTTTCCTACATTTAGCATATAAATGTATAATAAAAAATATTTAATAAAACTTTATTTTATATCAAAGGGATTTGTGGGACATGGAATAATACAATTCATTATATTTATGTATTTCTAATATGTTTCTATTTATTAAATATATTTTTTATATAAATACATTTTAGTTAGTATTACATGAATTAATTTCACAACTATCTGTTATCTTTTATTACATATTTTATATATATTTATTATATATTTTTGTTTTTATTATTAGTTTTTATTTTTTTTATATAATTTTTCCTTATGACTTGTAAATATACTAATATCTGCCTAAAAAATTTTTATCTCTGTTCTAGAATTCTTCGGTAAAGTTATTCGCTTGTCGATTCAGGATTATCGATTTATTGATTTGGTGATTCGAGGGACGCACGGCACTGTCGACGATGTCTTCCGATTTGCATTTCCTCCTGTGCCCCTGGATGATCATAAATCCATCGGAAACCCCGCTTCCTAAGCCACTATTCGCACGTGCATATCGTCTAAAAGCTAATCTTAAAGCAGGAATCGCTAACAGAGTTCGGACGGTTTGAGAATAACCTCCAGATTAGTTTTATATTGGAAATACATAAAAAAACATCGATAGCTAGATCACGAATTGATCGTAAAATATATGCTTTTACGATATTTTTTTGTATATTTATCAAAATAGTTATTGAGATTTAATAAGTTAGGTAAGTATTCAAAATATGTAAAAATGTGTTAATTAATATTTTTAATTTTAATTAGATTAAAAAATCTAATTAAAAGATAAAAGAATCTTATATCGATTTTCTTTATTGTGTGCTCACCAAAGCGATTGGTCTGAAATGTCATATCAGAAAGGAAAAAAGTGGATAGGATTATAATAAAATAAAATATTGAATTACAATATTTAATATAATAATATTCTAAGTTATAGTATTGTTACAATATTTATGATATTTTATAAGAAAATTATAATAGTAATTTTTCATCGTCCACACAAATCAATAACAGCAATGAATAATTATTAAATAAACGCCCATTATTCTCATTCTGGCTCTTCCGCATATTTCGATATCTCATCTATCGCGACTAAAACTCGCTAGATATGGATATGCAAATCTTCTTTTACGTGCCGATTGCAAATCGCCCGATCTGAAACAAGAGAAGAAAAAAAAGCATGAGAATGGCAAGTCGCAAACACGATAAAAGCGGATACGAAGTGGATAGGTGATATTTTAAGGGTGTCTCGGCCCCAGTCTGACCCTGCCGCAAGTTCCTTAGGTCTGTAGGTAAGTAAGTGGGTGGACTAGTTAGAACGGCAGCAGGGGGACGACGAATATAAATTCTCCGAGCGCGAGACGAGGGATGACCGCGATACACGCGAGGTCCCACGATCCTCTCGTCGCTCCCTTGTACGTGCTATCTATCGTTTTTCATCGGTTCTTATCCCCTTTCGGCGCTCTTGACGCACGTGGATCAAGATCAAACGAAGAAGCGGTGACTGCGAATTTTATGTCTCGCTGAAAGAGTGTCTATCTTTACGCGATCGGGGAGATTGATCGCCAAGTCTCGTATAAATAGCGCGCGCTCGCCCATAATTTTCATGCTAAACGAGAGCGAACACGGCAATGTTTATTGCATTGATTTATTAGCGCGCTCGTCAATTAGAATTGATATATTCCGCGAGTTATTGTCTGTTACGGCGGATGTGAAAGGTCTCACGCGCGCGATAAGAGGACGCGAAAGCGGCCGCGTGATTGTATTTGTTTGTCTGAGCAGCGCGTATTGTTTCCGTTCGCACAATTCATTCGTTCAAGATGGAGATCGATAAGAATGATCCTGTATTTTACTCATTCTTCATTTACCTTTTTTCACTTTTGTAAATGTGTAAACACGCGAGACGTTTAGCACGAACGAAAAAGCAGTCTATGACACGTGTATTGCGCGTAACAAGTTTACCAACCGGAAGTCGAGCGGTTGAATTCGGCTGAACGGGATGCAATTCCTGCTTCAGTCGAGCGAGCTATGATCGGGCATCCGTCCTCCGAATCTTCGGCTCGGGAAACTCTCGCGGACGGTGGAATGTCCCGAAGGGATACTTCGGCACGCGGGGCCCGACGGAGTGACAGGGCGTTAAAACGTCACCCGGTGGACATTCTCGACACATACCAATCGAGTCGGAGATGCCGAGCGAGGGAGTTTGCCCGTTCTTGATGCGTGTTTCCGTCAGACATATTCCGGATTCCAAGACATCCTCGCGTCCCCTTCGGCTCTCCCGTCACGGATTTTTCTCAGCCGCGTATCACGAGCGATGGTCACGCGAGAACGTTTATTATCTATTTAATAATTATTAGTTATATATAATTGCGCATACTTGGAATTGATTTTTATTTCTTTCGATTAGAGGGAGTATACATATAATAAATATTAAATCTCTTAATGTAACGCGCCTCTTGAAGATTATTGAATTTATGTTTCTTATAAATATTAAAAAAATAATTATAATTGCTTTTTAATATCTATACGAGACATAAATTCAATAATCTTCAATATTTATAAGACATAAATTCAATAATCTTTAATATTTATAAGTTTTTATGTTGTATTTTTTGAGAATGCGTACTTGGAAAATTAAGTTCTAATCTGAAATCAATAATTTCTATCTTGTAATTTATTACGAGTTCTTTTTGAAAACATTTCATTTTCTGCTTTATCATATGCTTTTTAATTCCAGCATCTTTTATACTTATCTCTTCTGACAAATTTGTACTTTAATATTTTAGTTTCTTCCGTGCGCAGTCGTCTAATGAAAAATTAATCCATAACTCTCGCAAAAGAGGAAGAAAAACAAGAAAATGACAAGAAGAAGTATAGTTCACAATTTGCTGACATTTAATAACTCGTGCTCGTTTTCGGCGAAATTATGTACTTCCCTCTGCGAGAAGACAGGCTGATTGTTTGACGGAAGAATCGTGGAACGCTGCGAAACGACGCCGTAAACGCGAAGACGGCGGTGTTGATCGATGGGCATACCCGTCAGTTGGCACCACTTTTAATTAAACCGCCCTCAAGATTAGCTCCCCTCTTCTTCTTGCCGCGGCTTCTTGTAATTGTTTTAAATCTCACCCTACGCCGGGACGGACGACGCTCCCTCGGCAGTTTAGCCCGAGAAAAAAAAACCGCAAGCCGTCAGGGTGACAGATTCGGCGGCTCCACTGACATTTATAAGGTCGTACGAAAGGGTTGTGTTGCAAGGATTTCTTTGTTTATCTTTTTAATGACGGACTCACTTAAGCATTTGCCGGAAACACCTTCATTATTGTCATCTTGCAACAAAGATTCCAACATTTTCTCTTTTATATTCATCGAAAGTTATGTTTCTGCATATTTGAGGAACAGAAAGAGCGCTGAAAATTTTTCATTACAATGCAGGATATTTAAAATGTGCCGTTTTCTATCCATAAATTTTCTTTCAAAGTGAAAAGATGTAAAATTTATGAAAATTTTCACAATGACTTGAAAAGATAGAAAGAAAATTCACTGATAGTTACGTGACTGAGTATCTAAATCCAGGTCAGATAGTAAGCCTGATAGATAATGTTCTACTGGTGGCAAAAGACTTAAACGTCAGACCGACGATTATCGATCGTAGGAAGCAAATACGATCACGACTGTTTCCAGCGCGATTAAAATCACCAGTTCCAATAGTCATGATTCATCGAGCAAACATGCAATTAAATCAGTTAAAAATTAAAAATTTGCATTAAAAATCTGGCATTTTTTTTACAGGACATCTGGTATTTGTGAGGAATCACCTTACAACTTGGCAACTATTTATCTAAATAACAATCTACGTTGCTTCTTTCAATTATTTCTCGAAATAATAAATATTCAAGGTTCCTTGGTCAAAATGCTATAAAGATAACATTTAAAAAATGATATTTCATATACAATAGCAGCGTACAATATAAAAAATATATAAAATTATCTAAGCATCAAATAATTTATTTATGGGATGAGATTCAAGACAATCTAGATAAATTTATTACGCGATTAATATGACACTTTAGGAAGAAATTTTCCAGTAGGTTGTATCGTCGAATCCGACAGCTCCGTTTCCGGTTTTGTTGGATACTTGGCCGCGTATTCTGACAATATTCACCGCGCCCGTTCGCCTCGTTCAGTTTCAATTTGACCGTACAGATGTTTCCCGAGACGCCGCTCGGTCTCGCAAGTTGGGATATCCATCCATAGCTCTCGTCCGGGCGCTGTAACGGCGTCGGGAGTTACGGCCACGGAGATGTATGGTAATTGTACGCGGCTAACTTACAGACTCGGAGTGGCCCGGGGGCTCTCCAAGTGCCTTCTGGTAGTATCACTGACTCAACATCCACCTGCAGATACCAGAAGGGAACTCGCAAGAAAACCCACCGAGTTAACAGCATCCCTTCCTCTTCGCCGACCCCTTGGATGCAGCCGACATCGAGAGACGTCGAGGAAAGTTTGATCGTCTGCCTTCGAGACATTTTGGCATTACCGTATGCGTGTATTCCTCGAAAGAGGTAGTTCTTCCAATGATGCATTATGTTAATGTGATATTGGAAAATTTTAGAATACAATTCCTGATAAAATGCATTTATGTGTATTTTGAAATGTTGTTATAGTAGCACTACTTGAAATGTTAAATTCGTATACGGGTTAACTATAAATAATTCGTTGCTTTGCGGAAAATACGGTTACGACACTATCGATATCTCCGGCGAACGCAGAAATAGACATTGATTAAGACTTGGAAGAATTTATCTGAAGGATAACGCGACCACCTTTGATCGAGACAGAGCAAAAGAGCGACGGCAAGAGAGATCTCGGGGTCGACAGAGAGATCAAAGAAGTGGCAGATAACGAGGTTTTTCGGACCGAGGGTTGAGTACTGTTTATCGATACGGGAACCGCGATGTTGCCCACATGGCTAGCCGTCTATTTTCGATGGCGTGTAATACTCGCGCGTCTCGAGGCGTCTACCTGTGTGTCCCGGTTTCTTCCGCCACAGTGCGCGCCACAGGTCGGTGAACGTTCAGAGTTCGTCCAGGATTCGAGGAGAGAACTCGTCCTCCCCGCAGCAATTCGGTTGATTCGTCTCGCGGGATCGCGCGGCTGCATGTGCAATGACTGCGCGAGACTCCCAAGACAGCACTTGTAAGACTCCGTCCGGTGCCTTCGTACTACGAATTGCTCGTGGTTTATGCACGTCAAACTGAAACCTTCGATACAACTGCGGCGACTAGGTAACTTTACCTTGCAACATATTAATCGAATGCTTGATGTGAAATGAAGAAGAGAAATACGCAAAAAAGGTGCATATATTTAAGAATTGATTTAATTCATCTAATTCTAAATTTTAGATTTTGCGTGGTTTGATTAGTTAGATTGAAATTTGCATTCTCAAATACAGAGCGCAATTATTTACGCACACGATCGAACAGTCAAATATAATTATACACTTATTTTATATTAGCTTATATTTGTATATAATTTGCAAATATAAGTTATTTAAGGATGTTTTGTACCTATTCAAAATATTGACAATTTAATGAAAATTGTATAGAATGTCCTTACATATCTTTAGAATCTTCAGTATAATTTTTAAATCGATTCACTAAAGCGTTCACAAGTTATAAAGATTTTAATTTGCACCGAATTAATATGTGTTCTTATGGGAAACGTACCCACGTCGCTTCAAATGATAAAAACACATGAAAATAATATTCAGAATTTTAAAATTTGCAAAAGTTTACATACAGAGGAAATATTTGGTCAAATAATATTATGCAAATACTAACTGATTAAAAAGATATTAAATATAATTCAATTAAGTTAGCCATCTCATGTATCTGTCACAAGGCGAAATTCTCTGCCAAAAGTTAATCATTTCGATTAACAAAATTCGGAATATTTCAGTAAAAACGCAATAAATATTAAAAAATACGTCTCTGCACTGTAGCTAAGATCAAATTGTAATATTCTACACAATTTCTCATACTCAAAATACACCAAAAGTGGATATATTCATCAATATTGATTTTCAGCTACTTTTTGAGATTGTACATAGAAAACATCCTTAAACATCCTTTCATCTTTTCTAAATAATATTTATTATTATTTTCGTTATACAATTGTTAACAAACTGTCGATAAATGAGCTTGGTTTTTGGAATGTGCGATGCAACTTTGGCAGTGCCGCGTTCATCGAACTCACGAAATTATACGTGCATAATCAAGCATACTTTATTGCGATGAAAATTATTACTATCATCGTAAATGCATGCGATTATTTCTTCATAAATTCGCCTTGAGGACGGCAATTTGATTCGATCCCGCGTCCGATATAAATTACGGTCGCGAAAAAAATGCGTAACGCAGGGAAACGAGTCGCCGACGACGAGAGGTGCGATCGCGCTGGTGATAAGAAATAATTCCGCGGGCTCGGTAAGGTCGGTCCGAGGACCGAGATTATACCGGGGCCGACGTCGCGATGTTATCGGGGCTTTATGCAAAAATTGCTAATTACTGAATCCCGCGATGAAAGCGTGCGACAACGCGTCACGCTCGGGCGGGGCCGCTCGCAGTCATCTCTCATAGCTTTGTACGGGGAACGCGGCTAATTGCTGATCCTACGATCGGTCTGCGAACGTGCGGGGTGGACGGGGGAGGAAGAGGGGGGTCGAGAACGCTGTTATATTTCGCGATCGTACGCGGCAGATAGCATTATGTATCGAAACAATTTCGCTCGTCTCTTTATCTCGAGCTTCTATCCGGATTCGACTATCGTCGTTATTGTAGTCCTCGTCCTCGTCGTCGTCCTCGTCGTCGCGAGGTACATAATTCGTGGCGCACGCGCCCGGAAATATTAACTCGGGCCGTTTTACTTTGTCATCTCCGGTTCATCCCGACTGTCAACGGGACTGTATTATGAATGCGGGCCAATTTAAAATTCATTACAAGGTGCAGGGGATGACTCCTCCCGTTACAGGGCACCCCCTTGCCTGTCACTTGTACAAGGCTTTCGCGCCGCGTCTTCTCGTGGGAGGGATAATTGTGCGTCACTGTAACATTTTGAGAACGCGCTCGAACGTGCAAGAACGACGAGGGGAGAGAGGATGGATTCCGGTGAGAGAGGAAACGAGAGAAAGTAGAGGGGGAGAAACTGAGAGGAGCGCATTTATTATGGAGAAAGAAAGAGAAGACGGGATAGACGGTTGTACAAGAGCGGCAGCCAATCTCCCCCGCCGCTTCTCTTGTTTATTTAAATAATGCACGGGAGGGGAGAGACAGGGTTCTCAAGCCTGGAAATGGATGAACTACAAAGCCTCCGAAATCCGCCACGAGAAAAGTGGCACGCTCGCACGAGCCGTTCTTGTGACAACAGAGGGAATCCACCTGCCACGTGCCACGGAACACTGACTGCCGTTTTTCAGGAATATCCTCTCTCTGTTTTCGCTTTCTCGGAGCTCAGGAAAAGGGTGAAGCATTGTCCCTACATACCCATGTTTACCGGGAAGTTTAACTTTAGGCTTGTCCTTCTTAGCCGCTTATCTCACGCTTTCTGTTTCTAAAATAAGACAAGCGCATATTTGGTTTTCTACATCATCATAGAGACTTTTCACTAATCGTCTATAATTATATATGGCTTTTTATTTTATTTTATTTAAAATATCATGTGTCTTTATTTTATTTAAAGTTACATCGATTGAAGGTTTACAATATTCTACTTCAGTATTTCAACATCCGAGCCAATAACGCAGACTTTTCGGTGTCGAAATAAAAACAATGCAGGGATCGTGGTGAGAAAATTCGTGGCTGGAGTGGGAAATAAATCAATCGGGCCTCCTGTCTCGAGGTAGCCTCTTCTTTATAAATGAGCGGGGCAAAGGGGCGAGTTCGGAGGCTGCAGTTCAGATATTCACCGGTTGATTACCGTCCCGACGGGGCCGGAATACGCCTCCGGTAGGGAAATCCCCTAGGGAGGACGCTAACTCGACAACTGACAAATTAGCCCGGCGCACCGACGACACTTGCAAAATAGGTCGACAAGAAGATGCCTGTTTCGGTTTGAATTCGAACGCCCGCCAGATGAGATTCGCAGCCAGTCGTCGAACTCAATTTTACTCGTCGACAGAGTGAACAATGCGCCAGCGGACACCGGTTATCGGTCACACAAGATTAACTCCAAAGCCCAAACGCAATAATTAATCGGCGAATTATTTCGGCGAAAAACCAGGATCGGTTGAGTAACAATCGGGATTTTTTTCCACAGATGTTATCTTCTTTCATGTTATACGCGTATCCAAATATATAACATACATATAATGCAATCTCTTAAAAGTTTTTTCTTACTGCGAAGAGAGCACTTATTTAAAATATTCAAACCCAACCGTGCTACTAGAAAATCGATGGAAATCAAAATTGACGTTTCTCCAGGGGCGGGGACACGTTTGCGATTCCGTTCCTGCGACGTGCGGACCCGAGGTTTTTCAAGTTTCAGGAAATTCCTCGTTGGAGGTTAAGTGAATTGGAAATAAAAAAAATAAGTGCCGGGCCGGATAAATAACGTCCGACGACGACGTTCGCGTGGGATGACGTCGCGCCGGCAATACTTTTCACATCGCCCTGCAAGAAAGGTAGGGGGATTGTTATTCGTGCGGCGTAGTGCCTCGGTGTCGCTTTCACTAGAGTCGGTTACTGATAAACGAGCGGTTTCAACCCCACGCGTCGCCCCCTGAATGTAAACTCACTCTGCCTGCCCGACGCGCTTTAAGCTCTTAGCGCGGGTAAACGCTCGGTGTAAATCGTTTCTGAACGTAAACGATTGTCGACGACAGACCCGAAATTAATCGTCCTGATTCTGGTCGCCGAACGAGATGATTCTGCGAACGCGCTTGGGACAGAAATAAATCCGCAGGTGTTATAATGCAATCGAACAGAGGGCGTAAAAAATAGAACAAATTATTTATCTAATCATTATTCTTTAAAATAAATTTTCTAGATATTTATTAATTCGCTAATGACTAACAAATTGAGTTAAAACTTGGATATATAACTGTACAATTATAATTTTACATTGTCAATGTAGGATATTTCTAGGATTAAATTCTACTAAAAAATTCAATTAATATTAATTTTTCAAGATATTACATGGGATAAATTAATGTTATTTTCTGACGCAGAGAGGAAAACTTCTATGAAGATGTTATATAAAAGATGTGCATCATCCTGTCCCATTGTCCGAGCCATTCTCCGACAATCGGCAACAACATTCATCTTCAGTGGAGTCGGGATTTACGAGCGACGTTGTGTACGCGACGAATCGCACGACAAAACCCGACGGCGTGCCCCGCGTACGTGAGTGGCCGAAGGTGGAACGTCACGTTCGCGTGCGAATCCTCCGGGGAACGATGTCTCAAACGATCACGCGGGACCCGAAACACACCTGCAGCAAAATTCCTACGCCGGGAAAAGTGCTGTCCCGTCGCCGATACCTCCGGCCCGAATGAAATCTTGCCGTTCACGCACGTATATATACAACACGCGTACCGGCAAGGAAAAGCGTAAGTTTGTCATAGGCAATTTATACAATTGGGATGGCGGTGCGACACTCGCTATTTGACACTGGGGACCCACGAATTTATGGCTAATGTACCGCTATGCTTCAGTCACGTCCCCTTTTCCGCTTTAATTTCGTTTTTTTACCCTTAAAGAAAAATAGATATTAATTCGCGAGATGACAACTCGTGTATTTGCAACGATAAGTTCAGAATTTATTAAGATTATTTCAATTAATAAATTAATTTAATAAGACAATTGCTCTTTCGTTGATCGAAATCACGTCAAAATCGAAATGTATTTGTTGCTTGCAAAAACAATACATCAAGCGTTCAGACTTTATTCCTATAGTTTACTGCCCTTACTTTGCTTATATTGTGACAGACGATTGGTATTCAACCCTATGGATCCCTTGGATTCATGTAACAGCATCGGGGACATGTGTCAGCCAGGACGATTGGTAGTAAGGGTCGGAAATGGCTGTTTAAAATTGCATCGAGGGCCTACCGTTAAGGGCACGTGTGCTTTTTAATGTCCCGACGAATGCTTACGATAATGTCCTTTAAGCTTTTATTAACGGTTATCAAAGTACGTGGCCCGAATAGCCATGGCTATTCTCACGCGACAACGCGAACCAAGCCTCGATCCCTTACCTACAGTAACTGTCCGTAAGAGAAAGAATCCTTATCTCATTCTTTTTGATAAAAATTTTTCGCACGCGAAATGTTTAGAAAGAAGTATAAATATTTTTATATTTTTCTCTTTTATCGATTTGAATTATAATGAAATGCATTGTATGTTTAATATAAAATTAACCGTAAAAATAGACTTTTTCTTCATACCATGCGACACCAAAATGTACAACGCGTGCGATCTTCCTGCTGATCTCTAGTCCATTATAACATTAGCGGTGCTGGAGGGTCTCGAATCTCATGGGGAGAAAAGTTTTGCCAATGATTAACCGAAGTCTAGTTCGTGACTTTGATGAGTCGACTCGCTGCCATAGATTTGTTAGAAATAATTAGGATTCATCGTCAAACATTACAAGTTTATTCTTTTTATTACAAGTTATAGTGCATCATGAATCATGCAAGTCAATTCCAATTAGAAACGACGTAAAAAATAAAAATATTAAAAAAGAGAAAAAAATATGTTTTATAAATTTATAAATTTATTAGTTATAGAATTCTTGTAATTAATTACATGTGTTAGTTTAATTTATATACAACAGAATATTAATTTTATCATTTAAATTATATATATGTCAACTGCTTTTATTTATATTAGTAGCAGATAATAATAATAATTAATTAGTCGCCTTCTTTACTAGCTTTATGTAAACTCGACATCAGCGATCAAGGCAAATCATATCCACTCGCTTTTCATTTATAACAAACGAAGTCGTATACGACAAATCAGACGAGGTGACAGACAAATGGTCTCGGTAAAAGACAGTCTGGCGAGTTGGTCGATAAGATCTTGCAGCAATCAAAGATCAGGCAATCCAGAAAAATCTATCGTCAAAATTTTGCCAAATTTTAGTATAATCTACGAAATATGTGCGCGTTTTCTTCGAATTCGAGGGGTGCGATGCGACAATGCGATCCGGCCAATGTTGTACGGGGGTTATTTGACCCCAATTCCCGAAGGAATTTATCTGCCGGTCAGTTGCCCTAAATATCAGACACGACCGTGCAATCACGCGTTCATTGTTATAAATATACAGCGCGTCATAAGATCGCGCACTCGACGATTTTGAGAATGACATTTCTTAACGCGACATTTGTTCTTTACGCAGCATCCGTTTTGCGTATCAATGAGAAGACTGTGGGCGGGCGAGAGAGGTTCCTCACTTGGCTGAAGGACATATTTAATAAATCCATAGGTGAGCCGCACATCGTTATATTTGGGATATAGAGGTTATTTTTTGCATCGTTACGTAATCTATCTTATATAATATATAAAGATTAAATTCTATTTGCTTTTTTACTAGCAAATTAAGATAAAAATTGCATCATTTATAATAGATGATGCGCATGATGCGATGTTTTTACGATGATATTATTATTAAATACCGCGTTTTATTTACATTATAATACATTTAATAAACACGTAGACGTTTTATATTTTTAATTAAAAAGTAATGACACGTATTCGCAATTAAAATTATAATTCTCAAGTAGAATATTAGAAAAGAAGATGCACATTTAATAAGAAACTACGAATATCTTAACTTTCTGGTTGCCACGCTATATTACATGACGTAAGTTATCGAATAAGTTGCAGAGGATAGAAGCCACGAAGCTGACACATCGATCGTGACCATCGATCGCGCAACAACAACGCTCGATCATCCAGAAATAACGGTTCCGAAGCCGCCAGCGGACTCTTCGGGCAAGGTCGGCGTCATTAATCAAAAACTGACCAATTTCAACGCGATACAATCGATGACGAAGTTCGTGGATGGGAATTTCCGCACCGAGAAATATCACGCGGAAAACGACAAAAAATGTGCGAACGCGATTCAACAGTCGACGACTTACATCTCGTCGCAGTCGAGTGAACTTGGAAAAATTTTACAACGCGAAACGGACTCTAACTTTGCGTGGTTCGATCCCGGCGAGGTACATCGATCGGAGAGAATCACGATGAAATTTGCGACAAGAGATTCCGATGCGGCCGCGCATTATCATCGTTACACGAGTCCGAGACACTGTTATCGCCTGCCACCGCGAATAAAACGACCGTTTCTAGAATCGTGCGCTTTAAATAGAAATATCGGCGTGTCGACGCGCGCGATCGCAGATTTCGCTCCTAGGAACTCGAAGCCGCCCGTCAGGGAGCCAAACATGCCCAAAAAAGAGAAGGACGAGAAGAAGGACAAGAAGGAGAAGAAGAAGCCGGTAATACGTACGGACGGCGAATCCGCCGATAGTAGCGAGAACCGAGCGAAGATGATAGCGAACGATAACCCGAAGAGCGACCTCGACACGGGGTTTCACGAATGGGGCGTGAAACTCGTCGAGGAGCCGGCCGCCGAAGCGAGCGATAACGATAACTTGGCCGAAAAGAGCCGGCAATACGTCACGAAACAGTTTTGGGGAGTGAACCTGAAACGGGCGAAGCCGGATGTCGAGGATGTTCCCTCGCCTGCGTCCGAGGGTCCCAGGAGAGCCGCGAAAGAGCATCGAAACACCTCTCCGATCTCAGAGAGTAGCGATACTATCGTCGATGAGACGAGGAGCAACGCTTCCTCGTCGCTAAACGCTTCAACGAAAGTGCCGTCGAACTTGAAAGGGACGACCGCGGAATATCTGTCGACTCCGTCGTATCAGGCAAACCTAATTTCGCCGAGTAGTGATTCAATTATGCCGCAGCAAGGAAAGACTGACGCGGACTCGTCTTTGAATTCTGAAGCCCTTCAAAGAATCATAAAGGCATCGCCAGACGTGTTAAAGGAGCCGATAACGATTGAAGAATATAATGTTCCGGAAGGAGCGACCTTGAATACCGAGATCACTGCTTGGAAGATTCTTGCGATGAGATCGAATACAGTAGCTCAGGAAGACCATATGTCGCCTGATAACGTGGAAAATATGGAAATGCTATCGATTCGTCCTGAAGCGCCGCAGCCAAAGTTAGACGTGCGAGTTGTCAAGTCTGCCGAAGACGCCTTGGAAGATGACCACGAGATCGATCAGATCAGTTCTGGATATAAAGCTGTGAAACCTACGGAGATCAAACATTTTGGATCGCCGCAGAAACCAGACGGTTACGTGTCCAGCAAGAGACTGCATACTGCAAGCATGCAGATTCGTTATACACATCGATATATAAGTAGATATATCGCGACACTTTCAATCAACTCTGTTCTCATCGATAAAACCACGCGGATGAGATGTTCAAGATTTACGTCAGCCTTCTCTACAAATCCAGAGAATTCTAAAGAGATTATTAAGATATTAAATCAACAGGGCAAAGAAAAGCTAGATTCAAAGAGCTGGAAGAAGGAAGAAAGATCTAACGATTCTAATAATTCATTAAGCATTAAACGGCCTCATTTAGCCTCTTTAGAATCTCGAACGTTTTCAAATAGCAGTAAGAAGCCATCGGATACCGACAATCTTGCCGAGACATTGAATGTTATCGCGAACAAAGAGATGGAAATTTCTTTAAAGGAGTCGCAAACAACCGATCATCGCAAGAAAATTGCACGTCTATCTTCTGAACCTGCACAAAAGGATGAATCTCGCTTTAAAGACGAGGACGTTCAGGACGAAATAGAACGCTACGAGAATTCCACCGCCAGTTACATAGACTCGCGTAAAGACGCTACGTACATCGATTTCGAAACTCCATCAGCTGATCCAATCAAATCGCCGAATGCAAAATTAAATGAAGAGGACTCTAACATAGAAAGCGACAAGAATGCAACTTTGAATCCGAATGTGGAAGATGTAAAGGACGAGTACATCGTCGACGGCGATTATGTGCGATTTCCGGGCGATCCTTATCCCTACAATAAAGAGAACCTGGATAAATGGCGCGCGTCGCGCTTTATCCACAGGCCGGCGAAGCCGGTCAAGCCGGAGACCAAATTCGACTCTGTCTCTGTCACACAATCAAGGAACACTAATGGCAACGTATATGCAAACGTCCCGCGTGATTCTCACGCCGGTGCGGCGATGAAGACTTCAGGAAGCGGCGACGGCGCGGGAGCAAAAAACGCGGGACACTCGGGGAGCGGATTCCGCCGAGTGTCCCCTCGGAGTCAGCGGGCGGTATCTGATTGCCTGCGCGGCGATGCCGCGGATGTGCTGGGATTGCGAGGATGGACGGAGGCCTTCTCGCGGCTCGACGTCGGCGGCGAGATGGACGGGGCGGCGGTGCGAAGAGGCGGCGGCGGCGACGACGCGTCTTCTCGCGTCTATCATCAGTAGACTCGCCGCGAGAATTTGCGCCGTAACTTCCGGTGAGCGTGCACCCCGCGGCACCTTTGCATAATTCAGCTCTCTCGGTTAATTAGAACGGGCTCGTTGCCCGCGACGTAACGAGCGAGGGTTCCGCGAACTTTAATCCTAGATTGCGTTTACCGTTTCCGTCCGCTCGCTGACGCTTAAGTGCATCCAGTATGAACGCAATAAATATAACACGGATATATATACGCGCGGATATAATAGTTTGTACCGTAGTCTTTCGTCAGTTTTTGATACAAATTTTTGAAGAATATGATACATATACAGATTTTATATTCTGTTTCTTGTATGATATATGAATAAAAAATAATGTGCAAGCACAATTTCGTCATACGTGAAAGTTATCAATTTTCTCGAGTCTAAAAATGAGAAATTTGAAAAGATGCATATATGAAATATATATATGAAACCAATTTAAGAATAATTTTAAATTGCTGAATATGATAACGTAATAATAAAGATACCATGTCTTTTTTATAGATAAATCTTATTGGCAATAAAAAATAAAAACAGCTATGGAAATTTATGTCAACAATATATGTAATTTTTTCAAAATTGCAGAATTTATTAAAAAATTCAATTAAATGAATTCAGCTTCTGCTGCGAAAATGAAGGATAAACTAAACGATTATGTTCTTGCAATACTTTCATCAATACAATTATTAATGCAATATAAACGTATAGTATTGTTGAGATTCCGATTTATTCAAGCCCGGTTCAGCTTCTGTTAATTCATCCGGTTCGGTTTCCTCGGACGGACGCGTCCTCCGCCTCCTGAAATTATTCTCCATTCCCATAAACACGTTCTCCTCCTCGCACTTACGATTAAAAGCGGATAGGAAATCAAGATGCGCGGGACTCATATCCACGAAATTACCGTATACGGGCGCGCAGTTAGCTCGCCTTAAGAGCGTTTTTGATCCACGGGACGATCGAGGCATTAATCGCCGGCCGACGCACCTGTCGAGAAGCAGCGGGATGAGGAGGAGGAGGATGAGGTTGGAGAACGACCGGCTAGGTCGTTCAATCAGACACGTGTACTTACGAATACACCGGCATCTCCCGCATGGGCTTCGGGCTCTTCTTCTTGGGCCGAACGAGCGAACTATCGACCCGCCGCGCCGGGATATGCGTGCCTACCGGTCACGAACGCGGTCGCTCTCTTCTGCCCGGAGGCTGTTATTTGCGCCATCAGCGAGATCTCCGAATCGTCGACCCCCTATCTAATCATTCAAATCGCAGGCGTCCTGCCGGTCTAATCGGTAGTGTGTACGCACGCAGTGTCCGCCGCCGCATCGCGTTTAATGTTCCTCCGTCGAGGGTGCCGGACTCACCTCTGCGAATCGCAGGAGAGAAGGAGAGAGAATGAGAAGACTCGAGTCCCCGGCTATCATCATACCGCGATAGCGAAGCTGCACAGCTACCATACTGCGCTACTATCGCCGATAATGCCCATCGGTAATTGCAGACCTCGTAGCCCTGATTACCTTCGCGTTGGCAGAAGACACGCGGATTTAGTTCCAGCCTCGATTACGGCAGCTGGTCGTGCCGTGCCACTTTCCCGGCCGATCGATCGCTCACCCGACCGATCCCGCTGTCATTTGCTCACGCGGACATTCCGCGTGCTCCGCTGCTGTTCACGTCTAACGGAATACGAATAATGAGCGTTCGATGATGCTGCTCGAGTTGGAATCCAGCGCGTATCCGGCCTTCTCGTCGAGTATATGTGCGACCGGAGACTCGTCGGAAGTCTATGGTAATCGGTAGTCTTGTAGACAAACATCTCGAATACAATCGATCGTATTTTAAATTTCATTCTTAATTCTGGACATGCAAGGACACATTTTTTAGGTCGCGAATGACTCTTGTTCTTTCTTTTCATTTAGAAAGAAGGGGAGGAACAAGCGACAAACAGCGACGTTCGCAACTTATTTCTAACTGATCGGATTTTTCCCTATCAGTTCGCTTCGAGAACTTCCGTTTGAAAGATGCAACAGCGCAGCACGACGACAAGGCAAACAGGATTGGTAGCAGACATGCTTTTATTTACGACTAGAATCTGCTGACTGCTCCGAGTTCGCTCCTCCTTGACCCTCTCTTCTCGTTCCCGCCGAGGTTAGAACGATCCTATCTCCGCAAGACGTAGTCGCGGATCATTCCCTTCGGGGTCTTCCGCACTATAAAAGATCGCCCTATCCTTGTATATTACTCACGCCACCGTGTTTTCACTTGGCGCGGCGATCGGCGCCGATATCATAACTCCTTGTCGTACCGCCGTTCAACCAGCAAATCTGCCCGGCGACGAGGCCTCCTCCTGGTAGCGATAGCAATTCCGATATAACCGGCAGCCGTTGTAAGACGAGGACGAATATCACTGGCGGATAAAACAAAACTTTCGTCGACCTTATCGCATCTAAATGCGACGAATTTTCTGCGTTACATAGGACTAGCTCGATGAATCTCAGCCTTTCAATTGTTAATTTTACATTATTAATTAATTAAAACATATTTTATACTTCCATGATAATTTATTAGTTTTGCTATTTTTCGCATATTACAATTTTCGAGAGGAAAAATGAATAATATCAGACACGTAAAAAATAAACGTGTATGTATAATATAAAATCGGATTAAATTGTATCGATTCCATTTTCATAAATGCACTTCTCGCGCAACCACTCCGATCGCTTGAAAGATTTGTACTTGGCATTTCAGTAATGAAACACGTCGTAAATGTGTCGCGATGTTTCCGGCAACGAAAGGTCATCGAGGAAGTGACTGAAAATTCCACAATGTTAGCGCCGCGTCACGCATGGAGCCATAATCCGGGACGTTGCGACCATCCGCGGCACCCGAGACACCGAAATAGATGGTTTACAGCCTCCCTTAAATACGTCAACGTTTATGTGTGGATTCCCGAAAGTAAATCGACGAGGAATGTTTTCGTACGACGGCGGCCCCGTCACGAACCGAAGCCAACTTAAACGCCGAGAAACCGGGGAGCTTTCCTCCCCTGTCTCCTCCGCCGACGCGAGATCACCGGTTATTATTAATAATGCGAAGAGCGTCTTTGTTTACGATGTCACGGACTTTAACACGTGCGCGAGTTTATGACACACCCCGATGCAGGATAATCTTGTTCATTTTGGCTAGCAATATCGCTTTGCTAACAGAATGTATCATTAAAACAATTATTACTCCGACATGAAAAATATTAAAATAACATATAAATCATTTTAGAAACTTTATTCAAAAATATCAGCTAAAAATATAATGGATATTTAACTGTTTTTTTTATTAATAGTATAATAATAGCAAAATATTTTAATATCAAAAAGAGGATCTTACGATGTTAAATTATTGATGACGAAAAGAGGAAAAAATGAACAAGAAATGATCGCAGCGAAGTTTCTAAATAAACTTTATTCGACCATTTACAAGGTGGCAATTTTATTTAGCGAATAAATTATAGATGCACAAATAATCCGATCACGAACATGACATGACAGTTATAGTATTTCGTAGCTTGTCAAACATATATTCGTAGTTTTTCAGCAATGCAAATGCGCGAGATGATTGTTTCCAAATTTTGATCCTAGCAGAAACTGCTTTTAGGCAGGTAAATCGAGGACTATATGTAACGAGCGTTTCCTACATGTACAGTGCACACTCAGTATCCCACAATGAGATGACGTGATTCCGCTCGAGTGGTCGCGCCTCGGGCGCAAGTCACCCCGCGATCGTTGGCCGCAGATCGCGGACCCCGTAGTGACATCACAAAAAATCACGGCGCCGCTTTCCGGCCGGATATCTTTCAATTACCCGTTAATATGATAGGCGGCGGCGGGCGTAGTTGCAAGTCACCGCCGCGTCGTTGCCGGCAACGTGCGGACACACACACAATCGCACACATCGAACGAGTGCACACGATCAAATACACGCCCGATAGTCTGCGTGCGTGCGTGTGTGTGTGTGTGTGTGTATGTTACGCGTGTACGTATGTGATTAATCGACGTCAACCGCAGACCACGGCGCGAACCTTGTCGAGGGAATCGCCGGCGATTCGTTGACACGTCGATTCGCGGTTTACGCGCGCCGAAATACCCGCTGCGAAACGAAATTTATGCCTCGCACGCACGCGAAGATCGCCGGCGTTGGCGGATGTTGGCGGACGTGTTTGCGTTGCGAGAGGTTAAACGTGGTTACAATATTACTGGAGCACGTTGTAGCCTAATCGCGCGGCCTGGTAGGCGGCCAAGTCGGAGTGTTTTCCGATCGTGATATCATAGGGTTGCGCACAAAGTGAGATCTAAGCGCGTGATCTTGGCAGTCGTGAGTGTCGACTTAATTTTATGGCGACCGCATAAACCGGCCAAGAAAACTAACAGCTTTCGGGAGGAGAGAGAAACTGGTTTCGTATCCTCATTGTACCGCGAACGGTTAGAAATAGAAGATGAAAAGAAGAGGGAAAACAAGGAGAGATTAACGACATGTTACAATTTCACATTTCGAATAAGTGCGTAATTATTTTGCGATATTACACAAGGATCCGATATTGCGAACAGTAATTTGCAGAAAGGCGCACGCGGCGGAAAGTATTATGGGATTCTCGTGGATGAATTCGCCGGTTGTCCTTTCCCATAGAAAATGGAAAATGTCTCTCGCGTATGAAAGAGTCGTCGCACAACCGACGAACATCTGTCGCTCGTTATTCTCATTCGGAAGTTAGTAATTAAGCGGCGCGGGATTCCAGGCATCGCGGAAAATAAATTGCCCATTGTCAAGTTTTACTTCTTGACTCGGGCTCGGCATAAATTTTCCGCAACTTGCTTTCCGGTTGAGTTGATGAATTTTTATGAAACGGAAACATTTGCTTCTTCTGATGAATCAAATGATAGATGCGTTCTTAATCTTGACAATTCGAAACATTTTCAAGAGAGCAAAAATGCTAAGGTTGAATATAATTGAAATTCTTGGCTCTCTTTAGTCGAGTCACAAGTGGAAGAGATACATATTACTTTTGCGTCTCAATAGTTACATTTAGTTAATTAATCAAGGTAATTAATTAGCGTGCATTGAACTTGTCGGATTTAATTAATTGAGCTCTATTTAATTATCCTCAGCCATTTCCCCATCTGTCAATGATTTTTCCCAATATGGCTATGTGAACTGTGACTCATTTTTCGAGGCGTAACGATCGATAAAACGGTCTCGCACCACGACAAACGTCATCGTCGTAGTTTGTTCGACGCCGATATCATTTCCTCGTTAACGGAAAAGGAAATGCAATAAGCCCTCGAGAATCCCGACGC